TTTGGTACTGGGGAATGAACCCAGGGGTGATTTGCCACTGAGCTATATCCCCAACACTTTTGATTTCTATATTGACACAGGGTCTAACCAAGTTTCCAAGCTGGCCTCAAACACTGGGATTACAGGCATGTGTTCCTGTGCCTGCCTGCATTAGCTTTTTTTTTTTCTATGTGGCACCAAGGGGTAGAACTGGAAGCTGAAAGAAAACAAATTATCAGCTGAATACAAGGAAGTATTTTCTAATTGTTGAAGTTGGTTATGATTATAATAGACTACCTCAATGATTCACTGGAGGTCTACAAATAGGAGCTGAGTTATTGAAATAAATATCTAAGATCTTTTAGAACTCTGCTCTTCTGTCCCTAGAGTCTGAGCCTCTCTTGTGTCCTCTCAAATACCTATTATAGGCCCTTGCAAAGTCATCTGGTTCTTGGTCTCTTACTCTTTTATTTACTGTTTTAAACTTCTCTTCTCCTTTCTACTTCCCTCCCATTCCTCAGCTTTCAGATCGGGGTAGGGGAGGGTAGCTTCCTTTGTGTGGCTACATAACAGAGTGGCCTGACTGTGCCTACCATTTCTTATGGAGCTTTATAGTATGTAAAGCACTGTCACATAGATGGATCTATTCAAAAGATATTTATTGAGCCCTCCTCGTTTTGGGCACATTATCTTGTGGCATCCTCACAACAACCCTGTGAGGTAGGTTGAAGGGGCCATGAGCTCAGCTGGGGACCCTGGACTCAGGTCACTTGGCTTGAGAACAGCATCAGAGAGGACTGGGCCTGTACCTTCTGGCTCCATTCAGTCTCATCAGCTCCCAGACCTACCCCTAAGGAGAAGGCAATGCTTCTCTCAAAAGGGATGGGGAAAAATAGATAGGCTTAGAGGCAAACTGGTTCAAATCCCTTTCCCAATTGTTCTTCTTTACCTAAAAAGAAGCATGATCTTTCCCACTAATACCTTCACTGCCACTTTCAAATGCCTACTGGTCCCTGGGAGTCACCTGGCCTTAAGAACTTCTTGGTCGAGGTAGGAAGGCTTCTGCCAAAACCGACAGCAGCCAGGCAGCCTGTGTGGCCAGCTCCCAGCTTTGTGGACTGGACAAAGAGCGTGATTTTGGAGTCTCTTGTCCATGGTCACAAGGTTGGAGGCCAGGATGGCTTTGGGCTGGCAAAGTTGCAGGACCCCAAACCATTTTTACCACAAGAGAAGTCTTTTCCAGAAACACAAAGAGCACATTCCTACACTGGGCCTAGGGAAAAAAGACCTGCCCACTGTCAGTCAAGACTTTGCCCTTGCTGTCACCACCTCCCACCCCACTCCCCCAATCCCCATCTCTCCCACGCTGAAATCACCTGAAAAGAAAAACAAAAATGAAAAATCAAAATATGCAGGAAAACAGGGCATCTGGCTGAATTTCAGTGATGATCAAACTAAGGGAGGAAAGTTAGACACCTTCTACTGATGTCCATACTTTCATCCCTCAGTTGGACCTCCCTTTATCATTCTCGGTGACGACAGAAATAGTACTTTTCCTGGATTTCATATGTGAATTATGTCCTTGTCCTTAGCCCCATTCCTCATTTGTTTTGATATTTATTTCTTGTATTTGAGAATGAATATTTGACTTTTTTGGGGGGGTTCACAAAGACCATGAATTTTCATTTGATCCTCCAGAGACCTTGTAAAGCAATCAAGACAGGAATGATTAGCTCTATTTTGCCGATGAAGAAACTGAACAGAAGTACTTTGCTTAAGGTCATTGCTAAGTGTTCTCCTTTTTCAGGTACCCAGTACTGCTAAAACCACACCTAATAAGTTCATTCTCACTGATGTTATGAGAATTCAAAAAGATAAGATGGCAATATCAAAGAGGATAAATTTTTAGGCCTCAGGACCTCACTTGGCATCTCTGAAACTGCAAAGAGTCACTGACCTTTTCCACATGAAGGATTGGCCTGGCCATTGGCCTTTTGATATAGCCAATAAAAGAACTAGGCACAGTAATGCACACCTGTAATCCCAGCAATTCAGGAGGCAGAGACAGGAGGATTGCAAATTGAAAGCCAGCCTCAGCAACTTAGTGAGGCTTCCTAAGCAACTTAGTAAGACTCTGTCTCAAAATTTAAAAAATAAAATAAAATTAAATAAAAATAAAAGGGCTGAGGATGTGGCTCAGCAGTTAAACACCTGTGGGTTCAATTCTTGGTACCAAAAAAAAAAAAAATCTGCAAGCAGGTGAATGGATATATTTGAGGGAAGATGGAGGGATCAGAAACTCTGGGGATATAGTCATGGAATGGGCTCTCACCATAGGAAGCAAACAGAAAGGAATAACACCACTCCATCTGCACTTGGCCAGAGGTCCAAGCGCAAATGGGTTGATGCCAATACTTCCTGCTTTGGACTTGGTGGTTTCTGAACTCATTTAGAGACTACCTACCTAATCATCCACCCTGGTCACTTTGATAAGAGATTTCCTGGAGCCAAAGAGTTGGCTCTCCCAAGTAGAAAGCTGATCAGGGGGCTTGGATGCAAGTAGGGTATAGGGCCTGAATTTTATAAAACAAAACAAAACAAAACAAAACAAACAAACAACAACAACAATAACAACAACAACAAAAAGCAGCAGCCATATATTGAGCCCCTACTGTGTCTGGCACTGTGTTTTATGCTTTGCCTCCCCAATTTCCAAAACTAAGAAAAGTGTATAATCAGCTCAAGTTTGCAGATAGCAAAAACAGATCTTGGAAAATTGAGATCTTCCCAAGCTTACACAGCAAATTGATATAAGAGCCAAGAGAAGAAATCAACTCCCCAGTCTCTGGGTTGGTCCAGGCATTTTCAAAGACCTCATCTTGAAACTGAAAATTCATTTTACTCTAAGAGGCACTAATGTCAATTAAACACTTGTAGTGTCCCTATAAAAACATTCTCTTGCTGGGCATGGTGGTGTATAGTTTACTCCCAGCTACTTGGGAGACTGAGAGAGGAGGATTGCTTGAGCAGGAGTTCGAGGTCAGCCTGGGCAACAAGCTATTTAAAAAAAATCCTCTCCACTAATGATGTGTGTGTGTGTGTGTGTGTGTGTGTGTGTGTGTACATGAGTATGTCTGCCAAGATAGATATGCATGCACATGTATGTTGTCTCTATCACTTTTGTCCTCAAAAGTTTGCTTTTATTCATGCCAAAGTTAACCAGCAATGTTAATTCTTCTTGTTTTAACTGAAATATGTATACACAAGCCTGTATGACTGACTTGTGCAATTGATCATACTTAGATACATTCACGAACACAGATTGCACTCATTCACATACATAACCTATAGAGAAGTTACACTACAGCAAGAAAAGTATTTGCCTTCCTATTCCTTTTCCCAAGGTAGAGAATTGGCAAGATGACAAGTACAATAAGCCAGAACTCAGTGCCTGAAGGGGATTCTGAAAAAAACAGTACCTAAAAATAGATTCTCTCCCTAACATACCCCTCCCCCTACTAAAACCTTAGAAAGTTCAAAGCTTTATTGCTTATTTCTTTGTCCAGCTCCTAAACCTGGATGGGGAAGAAGAATATGTAGCTAGTACACAGTATAATTACCCAAGAGGAAAAGGAACTAATGGAGAAAAATGCAGTCAAGAGGTCAAGGGAAGTAACAGAATTGGGGTTCCTTAAAAACCCTACCTTAGCCAGGCACAGTGTTACACACCTGTAATCCCAGTGACTCAGGAGGCTGAGGCAGGAGGATCACAATTTGGAGGTCAGCCTCAGAAACTTAGCAACACCCTGTCTCAAAATAAAAATAAAATAAAATAAAACAAAATAAAATAAAAAGGTCTGGGGATGTAGCTTAGTGGTAGAGCACCCTCGGGTTCAATCCCCAGTACTGAGAAAAAAAGAAAACACTCTACCTTCTGTAATAAAATCTTTGGATAACCAAGGGTGGTCTGGGGTTATTGAATGGTGAGTGTTTACCATGACCTTTTATCTTTTCTCTCCTGTCTGAGTACCGCTCTTACAACAGGCTTCAGGAGGAGGATTTTGTAGGAGATGCAGAACTAATGGTCTGGATGGATAGAGGGTCGTACTTATGCTGGGTAGGCTTTGTAAACCTAAATTCACATGAAAACATCACCCATGTTTCCTCCCCTTGAGCCCCTTTCCTATCCTGCCCTCTTACTGTACTCTTTCCACTCTAATTTCTTTCACTCTATCATTGATCCCCTAAATATCTGGTAGTTTCTTTCCTTTGGTTAAGGATAATTCTATCCTGGGGTCTTCTTTTAAGGGGAAATATACCTTCAGGGATTACACACTAGGAGGCTGATATTTCAGTGTGAATGAGTGGGTCCGACACTAGAGCTGCCTCAGAGTTGTGTGTGGGGATGGGTGGGAATGGTGGTGCAAATAAGAAGAAAATGATAATATGAGATTTACACCCTACTCTGCCATTATAGTGTTGAGACTTTGAAAAAAATCTCTTCTTTCTGGGCTTTAGTTTTCCATCTGTAAAATGCGGAGGACAATGTAGCTGCCTTTGAGTATTGACCTCAATGCTTACTATATATATAGTAGGAGGAGAATGAAGACCAAATATTAAAGTTTTTTTCTCTAGTTAGGAACACTGTGTGGGCCCTAATTTATGCTGGGTATATTTTCCTTGGGAGTTAGGAAGGTCTTTTATTTCCCTATACCCCACCCCCACCACAAATGCCCCTCACTTTAACTCATGAAGTTCAATGGAGAAAGATACCTGGAACACAGGAGGTATGCTGTGTTCTGCTCTAGTGACAGCTGAGGAGACACAATGAACAAGTGCATGAGGCAAAGTATGAATGGTTTGGATATTAATGGCTAAAGAGTGTATTTGGGGACCAAACTCATAATGTTCATAATTTATACAGATAGAGTACTTTACACAAACTGAATAGTTGCTAGCTTAAAAATGTTACCCACATAACTCCTGGATTTGTATGTCCACAGTAAAACCCAGCAACAAACCTTTGTCCTCCTGGGTACCTCTTCCTGTGTTGGTGGTGGCGGCAGCAGCAGCAGCAGCAGCAGCAGCAGCAGCAGCAGCACGGGCGGAGAAGGCCACAGAAGCTTCTATTTCTTGGCAGATACCTCCAAATGGGAGCCTCTGGGTATGGCAGAGAGAACAAGGGGAGAAAGTATTTACCCAGCATCCTCTGCAATCAATTCTTGCCCAGATGATCAATTTAATAAATTTATGATTGCCATGGGATGGGAGCACTGGACTCTGTGGGAAAAGTGCAATCCTTCAGAGACCTTTACTGGGCATAACATATGGACCCTTGTGACTCAACTGAAGCCCCACCTAAAGGCACTTAGCTATGAATTCCGAGTTGTAGATAATAGGGTGTTGAAGGTCTTCTCCAGGCTGCCTTCCAGACATGATTGTTGTTCTGTGTGACGAGAGACAGGCATAGCAATCAGACAGTCACTTGCCTCACTCACTGACATAATACAGGGTGGAGGCATCAGTGACTGTCAGACCACCAAACCCAATCCAGCAGCAGAATCTTCTTTCACCTGCATTAAACCCTGGATTCCCAGAAACCCCTGGTGGCCAAGATGGGGCCACTAGTACAGATCTGGCAGTGATCCAAATCTGACGAACTCTCAGGACTCCAATAGGCTGCCCTGAGTGCCAACAATTGCTATAACTCCTCTAATTGACACCCTGAGGTAGATGAGTAAATGTGTTGCCTAGAAATTGGTTCACAGAATCACAGAATGGCAGAGAAAATTTCACATGAAGAGACAGGTCCAGATAGGGAAAAATTATTCAAACACACCCTAGTTCAGTACAGAGCTAGTTAATACATTGAGATTTGTCTTATTACATTATACCACTTCTTCTTCTTAGTAGATTTATATTTTAGGTATCATGCTGACAAGAGAAATTGTAATAATAATGATACATTAATGAATTAGCTAAAACAGAAGAAGTGAACCTTAAATGATCGGGGGTAAAAAAAAATTAGGCTAGTAGTTAAGTAGCTGAAATCAGAATAGCAAGGAGGTTCCTCATTTAAAACTTAGTGGTCATACAAACTCTTTAATATTAAGACCAGGATGGCAGGCTGTTGTAAGGAAGGAAAGAGAATGGAGGTAGGGAAGGTTTTAATTAGGACCCCAAGGCTGAAAATTGTGGCCTAGCTCCATTCTCTCTTTGAGAGTTCATCTATCACAGCCTTAAGCCACAAACATCTCATCCCAGTTAGCCAGAACCTAACAGAAAACAAGTGAACAGGTAAAACTCAGAGGTCAGGCTGTGATTTCAGTCCTCCAACTATGGTTGCAGTCCTCTCTACTGGGGTGTTAAGTACTTCCCTGAAAGCTCCCCACTGCACTTCACATTTTTCCTGAGAACTGTTTTTTTCTGTGTATTTATCTCTCTTGGGGTTGCTCTCTTACTTGAATATCTGGTACCCCAGATTTTATGAGATACTTTTTCTTACCCTGAGTATCTTAAGCTCTACTGCTTGTAAGTGTCTTTTTAAGTGTCTTATCCTCCTCTTTATATGCTATCTTTAGCCAGTTCCTGAAGTCCTAAAACTATCTTAGGGTTGTGATTCTTCAGTCTCTGGGATTCATACTCTTTTGAAGTTCCATCCTCAAATCATTATAGTTCCAATCATTACTGGAAAACTATTCCTCTCCTGGAGTTCCCCCTGCAGATCTGGGTATCTTCTACATTCAGGCAGCTTTGTTTCACACTCAGAATCTTGTGACTTTGCATCTTTTCTGCAGTCCTCCCTTTAACACACCTCCCCTGAAATTGCTAGTTACCCATATATATATATATATATATATTTTGTATTCCACCAATTTTTCAGAACATCTTTTTTTTTTCCTGTTGTCCCATGTCACTTCCAGTGTCCCCTCCCTCTATATCTAGGGCCATCCATTTTGGAGGTTTGAATTTTATCTAGGATTCTCCTTTCTGTGTCCCTAAGGCATGGGTGTGCATGTCTGTGTGCATGTATAGGTGTGTACACACATTTTATTAATGTAATTCAGCAATGATACAATTTACCCATTTAAAATGTACAAATCAATGGTTTTAAGTATAGTCACAGAGTTGTGTAACCATCATCATAATTGCTTTTAGAAAATTTTCATTACCCAAAAGAAATACCATACTTGTTAGCAGCCATCTGTTTGACTGACTTTTATTTCTGGGGTCATACTTCTTTCCCAGGGACTCTTATCCTTTCACCTATGAAGCTATATCCCTTTAGGGGACTTTTGTAGAGTTTCGTATGCACATCCTGAGTCTACCTATTTTTTAGTGTCCCCTCATTACATCTCTGCAATTACAATCCTTTTCTTTAGCACTGTCTCCTGGCATCCCTATCCCAAACCCCTGGACCTTCTTTTTCTTTCTCTTTCATCCTTTTCAAGTGCCCTATCTCCCTCCTAGAATACTCACCCTTTAGATTCCCATGCCACTTTGGGTTCTAATTCTACCTGACCCTACTTGTTCACCTCTCCTTGAGGTTTTACCTTTTTTCCTGGAATCTTTATATTTTGGGGGAACTATCTGTCCTTAACATCTTGGCTTTTCTGTTTTGTGTTCCCTTCCCTAAAAAACTCCCCATACAATATGCCTCCACTGTTTTTATGTATTTTTTCTCTTAGAAACCCTTCTCTCCACTTCCCCATTCTGACCTCCCCCCTTTTGCAGTCCCGTTTCTTAGAGACCTTTCCTTGCATCACTGTGGCCCCACCCATTTTTCTGCAGTCCCATCTCTCCTATGATCTCCTCCCAGCATCCTTGGGGCTCCACCCTTTTCTGCAATCTTACCATCTCCTGGATTTCTTGGTCTTTTGTAGTTACTGTCCCCTATTTCTCTGTGGCACCAACATTTCCCCCTTACTATCCTCTCTAAGTTTCTCAGATCCTACCCACTCCTATTCTTTGGGGTCCAGGTTTTTTCCTGGGGCTCCTCCACCTCCTTAGGTTCTGTCTCCCTGCTGATGTCTCCACCCACTTTCTGGGCCCTTCCTTTCTTTATTTCTTCAATTACCTGAGTTTCTCCTCTCCATGGTTGGGTTTCCATTTTCTTCTGGATCTTTCCTGCCCACTCCCACTTTTCTCACAGCCCTGAACCTGAGACAGCTAATTTAGCATGATTTATATCTAGATGGTGGAGAATCCCACCCCACAGGAAATGCACCAGATTTCTGCCATTTAAAGGTTGAAGGGTCAAGAGGAAAGAAAAGTAAAAGTGAGTGCCTACTGTGTACCAAGAGCTGTGCTGTGCTTTTCCACATACATTACCTTCTGTAATCCTCACAGCAGGGATTGAGTAGTAGACTTTGGTATCCCCATTTGATAGATGAATAAACTGTAGCTTAGGGGAGAAAAGCTTCTTGGAGCTGGATAGAGTAGAGGGAAATCACCACCCTCTGAATGCTGGGGGGTGACGTGGGGGTGGGGACTCGTTATCTGCAATCTGGGGAAGGGACTCAGGCGCCTTCGCTGGTGCTGCACCTCTCGAACTGCGGAGAACCCGGCCCTGCCTAGCGGCCCACCGGCTAAAGATTTGACTCAAAGGAGTGCGCTCCCGGAGGGGCGGGGAAGAGGGAAGTGGTTTTCACACTTCTGAGGTGGCGTCCATACCTCCAAGTTTGGGGTTGGAAAGCGGGATGTTCACTGGGTTTCAAAGCTACCCGCCGTGGAAACAGCGATGGGGTGCTCGCTCCCTCATCCCTGCCCCCTCCCTCCTGTGTGCATCCTCCCGTCGGGAACCTGGCCACACTGTAGAGCACAACGGCCACCTGTTCCTTTCCTGCCGCCCCAACTACTTACCTTGCTCAGGATCTCGTTGTGAGCGCTGTGGCTGGCTGGATCTGGGGCGCGGGTGGCGAGCAACAGGGCTTGTCCTGCACCGCCTTCGCCCGAAGGATGGGGGGAGGCGTGGGCAGCGGGGTTGCAGTTGGAGCCGGTGAGCAGCCTGCGGTGTCTGTAGCGGGGGCGGCGGCGGGGCTGCCGCCGCCGCGAAGCTCTCCTTGGCAATCTACTGCCCAGAGTCTGGGTGCCCTCGACGGGTGGGGGCGCCCGGCGGGCTGGGGAGTGAATCTGGTCTAGGTTTTAGGAGAGTAAGAGAGAAAGAGAGAAGAGGGCACACAGGGATGGAGCGCGGCCCCTCCGGCGCGGAGGTCGCGGAGCAGCCCAGTGACCAGAGACGGTGTGGTCTGCCCGCTGGCTCCGCTGAAGGGTTTCGAACCTTCTTGTAGTCTGCCCGCTGGCCACCCAGCTAGGCTCCTCCTTGCCTGCTAAATAAGGGCATGAGTCACCAGGGGACGGGCTGGACTGGACCGGGATGGGCTAGGGAAAGCCTCTGGCCCTAAGACCGCCCTGGGGAGGGGCTACAGGAGAGCTGCGAAGGGGAGGGGAGCGAGTCTGGTGTAGATCCAACAGCGCAGTGACAGGGGCGGGGGCTGCAGAGAAGGCTCTAGAGAATAGGGCTGCAGAGAAAGGCTGGGAGGAGGCGGAGGGGGGCGGGGCGGGGCTGGGGCCACTGTTGAGAGAGGGGCAGAGGCTAGGTTCCCCAGGGAAGACAAACTGGGGGTCCTGAGGAGAGTCTAGGTAAGTGCACAGCAAAAGCAGAGAGCTCTAGCAGAGTAATTTTGAAAGGAGTGGGGAATAAAGGGAGGAAGACACAGAGATCAGTGCACGGACTGGCAAGTTTGGGGAGAATTTCTGGCCAAACTTACAGTGGCAGGAATTACATGCGAAGGACATAAGGAAGAAGGAAAAGCACTAGATAGAGATTTAAAACTCAGTGCATTCTCAGTCGCCCAGCAAGCATCACTGGATCCATCCAATCTTCAAGGCCCTGAGTGCTGTGGGGAATCCACAAGTGGCAAAATCTTGGAGAATCTCCATTCTGCGGGAACCAATAGAAATCTCTCTATAGGAGAGTCAGTTTCTCTCTCTCTCTCTCTCTCTCTCTCTCTCTCTCTCTCTCT